TCTCGTGTTTAGGTATGGCGTGTTTCGCCATGATCCAGTATGTGTCGCATGTTACGCTATGTTATGTTATGTTATGTTAGACCGTGCGGACGTATGTCCTGTTGTATTGGTATGTTGGTTGTTATGTCATGGTGCGGTGTATTATGGTATGGTGCGCCATAACTTACATCAGCATGATCTGAATTGGTTTGTGACTGGTCATCAGATACTTCAATATTGGATTCAGCTATAGTGTGGAATCACTTGCCACGTCCTGCTAGTACGATGGCTTCTTTTGTTATGCTATTGTATGACATGGTATGGTCTCTGTTACGTGACGGGCCACGTAGGGTTCCCCACGGAATCCGTGGCGGTCCTGAGGATCTGGCGGCCGCAGTGTGTGTATTGAGCGCCAAGAAATTGTCGCAGCGAAAAACCGATGATGATAACACAATTCATTTTCGAAACAAAACACCTGTAAGGAAATAACAAAAACAACAAACAAAAAAGCTCAAACAACCTTCGATAACAAAAAAAACAACAAAAAAGTTTTGAAAAATCATGTTATGGATGTATCAGCAATTGCGCGAGCATGCCGCGCCCAGATCCCGAGAACTTGCCCAGGTCCCGGGACCTTGTCCAAAGTCACCCCACCTGATTTGTGCTATGTCCTCCCCTCGCTGTGTTATGCACGCCCCACCTCCCTAACATACCCCCCTCCCTGTGACGCGCCGCCGCTCGAGACATCCCCACGACCGCGGTACCGCCGCTCGAGGCATCCTCGCAACCGCGGCGCCGCCGCCTGGGACATCCTCACACGAGGGCGGCCGCCGCTCGAGGCATTCTCACAGCCGCAGCGCCGCGGCTCGAGACATCCTCACAACCGCGGCGCCGCCGCTCGAGACATCCCCACAAACTCGGCGCCACCGCTCGAGGCATCCTCGTAAGCGCGCCGTCGCTGCTCGCGACGTCCTCACAACCGGGGAGGGCGGCGGAGGAGGTGGGCAGGTCCTTGTGCGTCTCCTCCCCCTCCACCTCGACCCTTCTGCCAGGGCCCCTCCCCTGCAGTCCCCTGGAGAGTCCGGGGAGGAGGGGAGGAGGAAGGGGAGGATGCGGAGGCGAATGGGCCCCAGCCCCCGCCCCCTGGACGTCCGGGCCCTGTTCGCCCGAGACGTCCTCGCACTTCTGGGCTCAGACATGCTCTGGCCTGCCGGTGGTCTGGCCCGTTTCCCCTGAGACATCCTCGCACCTCCAGGCGCCGAGACGGCCCACCTGACCTCCCGGGGGTGGGTGTCCAATTTCTGCTGCCCAGGTGAGCCCATTTCGGGGCAGCCCTCGCGGCGGAATTAGCGTTGCCCCGTCCCGTTTCGCCGGAGACGTCGTCGCGTGTCTGGGCCCCGATATGCCCTGACCCGAGGTGGTCCGGCCAGTTTCCCTGTCCCTGTGAGCCGGGAGGAGCAGGATGCAGCCCTCGCGCGAGACGGGTGATCGGGGGGCGTGCCTGACTTGTGCAATGTGCCCTGGCCCGTTTCGCCTGAGACATCCTCGCAATTTTGGGCTTCGATATGTCCTGCCCCGATGTGGTCCGGCCAGTTTCCTTCCCTGTGTGAGTTGGGTGGAGCAGGATCAGTTATCGGCCCACAAAGGGATCCCCGCCAGACGATTGGTGGTCCTGGGGATCTGGCGGCCGCGGTATGTGGCAGCCCACGAAAGGATCCCCGCGAGACTGGTGGTCCTGGGGATCTGGCGGCGGCGGTATGCAGGGTGGGCGGGTCGGGAGATCTGTTCTTAAAATCTAACAGCTCCAACTTGTCGAATGGGGAACAACAACGACTACTACTACTACTACTACTACTACTACTACTACTACCACTACTACTACTACTACTACTACGACTACTACTACTTTATTAATATATAATACTACTATATACTAATATTACTATCTATACTACTACTACAACTACTACCATACTACAACTACTTACTTAATCTTCTACTACTATACTACTACACTACGATACTACTACTAATACTACATACTACTACTTAATACTACTAGTACTGTGTACAGAATACTACTATATACTACTACTACTATATAGTAAAACCTACTATACTAATACGACGACGCGACCCCCTCCCAGGCCTTCGACGACTACACTACTACGACCCACCCACTTACTTTTACACTACTACTATACTATACTACTACTACTACTACTACTCCTACTACTACTACATACTACTACTACTACTATACTAATACTACTAATGATGGATAATACTACGTACGATTTACTTACTACTACTACTACCTACTACTTACTACGAATATACTACTATACTATACTACAACTACTCTAATACTACTGTACTACGACTACGACTTACGACTACTACTACTACTACTACTACTACTACTACTACTACTACTACTACCACTACCACTACCACTACCACAACCACAACCACTAACAACTACTACTACTACTACTACTACTACTACTACTACTACTACTACTACTACTACTACTACTACTACTACTACTACTACTACTACTACCACCACCACCACCACTACTAATACTACTGCTACTACTACTGTTACTCCTACTACTACTACTACTACTACTACTACTACTACTACTACGACTACTACTACGATCACTACTACTACTACTACTACTACTACTACTACTACTACTACTACTACTACTACTACTACTACTACTACTACTACCACTACTACTACTACTACTACTACTACTACTACTACGACTACGACTACTACTACTACTACTACTACTACTACTACTACTACTACTACTACTACTACTACTACTACTACTACTACTACTACTACTACTACTACTACTACTACTACTACTACTACTACTACTACTACTACTACTACTAACTACTCTACTACTACTACTACTACTACTACTACTACTACTACTACTACTACTACTACTACTACTACTACTACTACTACTGCTACTACTACTACTACTACTACTACTACTACTACTACTACTACTACTACTACTACTACTACTACTACTACTACTACTACTACTACTACTACTACTACTACTACTACTACTACTACTACTACTACTACTACTACTACTACTACTACTACTACTACTACTACTACTACTACTACTACTACTACTACTACTACTACTACTACTACTACTACTACTACTACTACTACTACTACTACTACTACTACTACTACTACTACTAAAAGTTTAAGACTGTTCGCTTGTATCTGCCCGCGTGCCACTCAACAAGCATATCCCAAACCCTCAATACCCACCATTTTCGTCTTCGATCGTACTCCCCTTGGGGACACATCTTCCTTACCATTCCTTACCCGCCACGTGCATTTAGCGCAGCCCCTAAAACAGAGAACGAGAGAACGGATGAAAGGGAGACGGAGAAGGCTGGAGCACGAGAGAAATTTGCAGGAGGGGGGCCAGGAGCAGAAAACACATGGCAGAACCAGACGGGCAGACCGGGCGGGCAGACCCTAGCAGACGGATCGGCAAAGCGGGCCCAGGTGGCCAGGTCGAGCAGCCGGGTTGCTGAAGCGTGAGCCAATAACAACGAGGACGACGACGACGACGACGACGGCAACAACAACAATAATTCTAAGATAATTCGCTCTTATCTGCTCGCGTACCTCACCACGTATATCCCAGACTCCCGATACCCGCCCTCTTCGTTTTCGATCGTACCCCCTTTGGGGGGTACATCTTCTTGACCTGTCACGTGTACTGGGCACAGCCCCTAAAAAAAGAGCAAGAGGAGTGAGAACGGAGGGACAGAGAGTGAGAGCGACAGAAAGAGAGAGGGAGACAGAGAGAGAAACAACAACAAAAAAGCGAGGAGGAAAGGAGCGGGGGAAGGGAGGGAGGCAAGTGACAAGAGGGAAGGAGCAGAATTGTGGACGAGAGAGATGAGAAGGTAGGCGGCTTAAGAGAGGATCTGGAAAACAAGCAGCAGACCCAGACGGTTGGGTCGGGCAACGGTCCCCAACGGGCGGGTCGGTCGGGCGGGGCCTGCAGACCCGCGGGCGGACCCTAACGGGCGGGTCGGACGTGCGGGACGCGAAAGCACCCGGCGAGCTTCCAAGCGAGCCGCCAGGCCTGCCGTCACAGGCAAGTCAGGCGGGCGGCCCTAATGTGCGGGTCCAGCGGGCGGATCAAAGCGTGAGACCTGAATGAATGTGGGGAAGTCCGCAAGGCCACTGAGGGCAACAGCGGGGCCACGAAAGGCAGCAATGGGGCCACTAAGGGCATGAGCGACTGGGGGCCACGATGGGCGTATATGTGGGCCACAAAGGGCAGCGAGGGGCCACTGAGGGCAGCATCGGGGCCACGAAGGGCAGCAATGAGACATAAAGGGCGCGAGCGAGCATGGGGCACGAAGGGCATGACCCTGACGGGCGGGCCGAGCGGGCGGAGCGATCGTGACTTCTGCGCGATTAGCCAGGAAGTTTCCAGCGAGAGAGCGATTCCTAAGTAAAGTTGAGGAAATCCCCAGCGAACGCGCGATTCCTGAATGGCAAGAGCGCGGCGCCTGAGTAAATTGCGAGGAAGTCTCAGGCGGGAACGCGATTCTTGGAGTAAATTGCGAGGAGGTCTCAAGAGGGAGCGGGGGACCGGAGTAAACTTCGAGGAAGTATCAAGCGGGAGCGGCTGTTATTGTAAACCGGGAGCCAGGGGCACAGTTTGAGGAGGAAGATTTTCCCCAATAAAGACAGGGTGCGAGCGCCAGGAGGGGCACGTCAATTGAAAAATACAATGTGCAACGGAGGGGGGGGATCAACAATAATTATTTTTCAGTCACGAGAGTTCAACAAAAGCAAGGACAACAACAACAACAACCACAACCACAACCACAACAACAACAACAACAACAACAACAACAACCACAACCACAACCACAACCACAACCACAACCACAACAACAGCAGCAGCAACAACAACAACAAACGTATGTCGTAGCCATTTGCGCTCAAGCCGCCGAGCAGCCCTCCGACTTAGAAGCGTGCGTCCGAGCCCGAGCCCGGCGTGTGCACCGCCAGTTTCACCCGCAACCGGAGCGGGCGGAGCTTCCCGATGACTCAGGACACGGCCGAGACACGCCAGCTGATTTCGGGGAAGGGGGAGGAGCACCCCGCGACCGAGCCCGACGGGGGCGAGCACCCCGCACGCTCGCGCGACTTTGCTGGCGCGATCGTCAACAACATCCGGCTGGTTCGGCAGGACTTCGAGCCGCAGCCCTTCCCCGACAGCTTCTTCAAGAGGCCCGTGGTGGTCGCCTTCGTCGTGCTATATGCGATCACTGGCGTCGGGGTCCCACTCTACTTGTTTCGCAGCCACTACGATGACCTGCGCGGCAGCGGGGATGCTCATTCGATCTTTGAGGATGATTGGCATAAGCATCGGGTCGCCAAGGCATACCTCTGCTTTATCCCAGCGACTCTGTTAGCCATCCCAGTGTTCTCGCCCGCACTGGCGACGGCGTCAGTTATGCCGTATTTGCTAATCGTAGTTTTCGCTGTCAAGGAGGCCGTCAATCAGGTGGTCAAAGACGACTTCAAGCATTTCTTGATTCGCGCGCTCAGCAATCTCCTCGCCACCCTTTGCGCCCTGTCATATCTGCGCTTCATGGATTACCTGGATCACATCGTCCACCAGATTATGGTGTGCGAGCATTCTCTTCTTGAGGAGAAGCCTGTCAAGAAGATGAAGGGTATCCTCCACAGCGTTGGCCTTACCCGTACTGGCAACCCCACGGCGGACAAGTTCATGGCAGCGAGCACACATAATCGTGGCATCGCAGACGTGGTCTATGAGAAAGTCTGGCACCCGCTCAGGAGCGGCTCCAATATTGTTGTGGTCATTTCTTACATATCCTACACCCTCGTCTCCGAGTATGCGGGTGCGGTGCTGGTGGGCGGATTCGTGTACTACTTCGTGACTGCGGCGTGCTTAGGCTACAAATTCTGGGATCAAGCCGTAACGCTGATCAA